ATCGACCTCGGTCCGTTACTCTACTGTAGATATATAGATGACTGCTTGGTCATTTGTTCAACGCAAGAAGAAATCGATAGCGGTTTCGAGTTGTTGAACACACAGGCAGAGTGTATTAAATTCACCCGAGAGAAACCAAAAGAAGACTGGCTTCCATTTCTGAACATGCAAATTAGCCTGTCGGAAAACGGCTACATTACGAAGTGGTATCGAAAGCCAAGTAGTAAAAACATCCTAGTTCATTACCTCTCCTCTCACTGCTCTCACACCAAAAGAGCGCTTATGAGAAACATGTTTCGAGCAGCTACCAGCGTGTGCACAGGAAGACAGCCGAGAGAGGAGTCCCGGAAGTTGGCGTGGCAAATAGCCATCTTTAATGGCTACGAAACCGTAGTTCGAGATAGGTGTAGAGGAAACCACAGGTACCCCAACGATAACTCTAGCGACAACAAGGTTCCGTTTATACTACCCTTCATTTCAAATGAAGTAAGTGCACCTATAAAACGCTGTTTAAGAAGGGCCAGTCTAGAGAATTCGGTAACGATAATCGAAATACCACCGAGTAATCTAAGGCGCGAGCTAGTTCGTAACCGCCTATACGACCGTCTATGTGCAACGCAAAATTGCATAATATGCCCTAATGGTAGAGACGGTGACTGCATGAGTTCGGGTACAGTCTATCTGATCTGTTGTAAAGCGTGCGGGGACGAATACGTTGGCGAAACGGGTAGACCACTCTGCTTGCGTATAAAAGAACACCTAGTCGGCAAACGTAAGCCAAATACTCCACTAGGTACGCATAGCACGCAGAAACATAACGGAGAAGATTTTGAAGTAAGGGTTACAATCCTCGCGCAAGCATCGAGAACACAAGCGCGCAAAACTCTAGAGGCATTCTGGATTAATTCCAAGAATCCGAAAATGAACCGCAGGAAGGAATGCCTCGTTATCACGCGTGGTATTGGACAGTATATAAGCCTGTTATTCTGATGGGAGGAGCACATAACGCTTCCGTGTGAATTCTGTGCGGTCGGTCTTCACGCGATATACTCAGTGGAAGACTCATAGAAAGCGGTGAGTGTGCAGAGCTATGCTAAATGTGATTGAAATCTTGGTTTAGCGTTTTCTCTGTTTGGTTATGGAGGTGTTTGGCCGAATGGATTGCTGTCAACTTAACCCTTCCAGGCTCTGAGGAAGGCGAAATCCGTCGAAACGTCAGCTTGTGCGTAAATAAAGAAATAAAATAGCACCTCGTGTTTGCTGAACAGAAGTAGAAAGATATATTCATAAATTTTTTATTGAAGCTAGCCTCTTTTTTTCCTTTTAGGATGGATTAGTGTTTGTCGTTGGTCGACGTACGGCACAGCTGAATGTTTCTGGACGTCATCATTCCGCAGATGACATAATTGGTAAGATTTGATTACTGTTGGAACTAAAAGTGGCTTTTCACATAACTTATCAAAGGCTAATCTTTTACAAATGTAATGATGCTTGGTTATTTGCAAAATTCCGGACCGCAGGTGTCTGCGGTGGTATTAAAACGCGCTATTAACCTTTCCGGCGGCTACGGCGTTCACCACCACATTATGCGAGTTCTTTGTTTCGGCTGTTTTTAAGCCAGCTAGTAGCCAATGTTTTACTTTCGGAGACCGTGCCCTATTCTTGTTCTACTCTTGAAAATAAAGTTTACAAACTAGGAAGTATTTTCATAGTTTTCGAACTGAAGCATTTCTTATTCATTTTACATTCGCAGCGTTTTATACGATACCTCATTTCAAGCCACCGTGCTGGCAGTTGAACCTATGCGGTTTGTGTATCGTGGTCGAATTGCCGTCTTCTCCGTGTCTGTTCTCCGAGACGAACGAATAGTTATAGTAGCCGAGCAGAAACCTGGAGCCACTGAAGAAGATGCTTTTACGGTTATTTTCATACTTCTAACTTACAAAATAGTGATGGAATTTCTACATGGTGGACTACAGCATGAGAGCATCTATTTGGTTCTGGTTTTTGTATCAATCTAGTTTATTTTTAGTTTTGTTCAGAAAAGCGCCAGTCATGAAGTCATGCATAAGATGTCACTTACACGTATCCATGTAATCCCATGTTTATGCTTGTATCATTCGCTGTGACCGAGGGTTTTCAGTGGATGTCACGTGTTTTACAAGCAGTCGATGCTATTCACCAAGTTGGTGTCTACTGTTTAGCTCTAGTTCCGGCTAATCAGCTACCTAAGGTAACGTTTTTAAGAGACACTTTCTAAAACTGCTTTCCTTAAATGTGTTGATTTTAGACACCACTTGGTGGAATACACGTTTCCGAGACGAGGCAGTGTTTCCAAGCTGGCGAATTACATCCGTCAACGCTGTTAATGTGCCCACATAGTTGTGTGATAAATTTGCCGAAACCACGGTTAGCTTCTGTATTTCCTATGCCTTACCAGATGTTTGCTGCTCAGACATCCACTTTCATCTTATGCATTCGAAACATGTTTTAATAAAGTAGCAAAGTGAGACCATATGGACTCGTTAAAGGTGACGCTCTGGATGTTCCAATACCGTCATTCTATCCTTATATGCTTTTCTCATATTTTTCTTTTATCCACATATGTAAATTAAAAGCGTCATAAGGTGTTTTTGCTGCTTTGTAACTATAATGTTGAAATGGAATATTTTTAGAGAAGTACAGTCGGACATCGGACCAGCTTCTATGCTTCTCGGCAATATTGTCCAGGGTGTTAGAATCGCTGGAGCTCAAGGGCGATGTTTAGGCGCGGAAGATGACATGGTTGGTATTCAGTTGTGTTGAAGTTCATCCCTTTTTTCCATGACTCTGGCTTCACTAACAGTTTGACTGTTTAATAGTGAAGCTCCATATCCTTTGTTCTGAAATCTTACTCTATAGCACTTGCTTTTTGGATGACACAGGGACTTTGGATTCTTGTATTTTTGCGCACATCACACGTTCTTTTTTGAGAATCTATTGGAAATCCTTCGTTCGCGATCTTCATCATCTCCAGATCATAGATTGTTTACACTTGTCACAGCAAGGAATGCGGAACAAGACTCAGCAACATGTGCTAGTTTGTTGAAGTACGTTTTACATATTAATTTGGTAACAGAGGTCTTATAAAATCCTTAAAACTTTGGCTTTTCTCACGTTTCATTTTCTTTCTCCAAGCTCTGTTATTATGCGCTACCGGTCGGTGGTATAATCCAGTGAGGTTGCTAGTGTACAACGTGCTTTGTAAATACTAGAAGTGAAACTTTATCAGGTCCGCCTTTGCTGGTGAATACACTCTTGTATGGAGTCCTGTCATTCACCTGCTGAGTCACACCATTTGCCGTTTCATAGAAGTCGAATGTCATGCCAGTAGTGACTATAGTGATGCGGTGTGCTCGCTTTAACGACCGACAAACCACTTCCTGGGAACAATCTATCTCCCTGTGGGCGTCCAAAGTGGATTTGGACACGCTCAACCAAAGATGATAGCAGATCCCTGTATGATGGTGCAGCAGTTGAATTTCGGACATAAGGAGTGTCATACCTGTAGCACATACAGACTCCATTCAAAGCAAATCGGAAAACTCGGTCAATCCCTCACCTATGTCGGAAAAGAACCTCAGTACTCAGACTGAGGCAAGTCAATTTTTGTGACATGAGGAACAGAGAGTGGTTGCGATTTGTTACAATCGGCAATCTTCCGCAAAGTCCTGCTACTTACTTTAAAGCATCAATTAGTCTATACTGTGGAGGCTTTCCTAGTGGACAAAAAACTGGATTTAATGTCGTCGTTTCGGTAAGGTATTGAGTATTGGGAGTTTGTGAGAGTTGTAACTACCATAGCAGATATGTTATGCGATCGGCTTAATAGATTTGAGCGCTCTATCGATGCATGGTAGTAAACGGACCATAATTACTCTGACGCAGGTGGACGTTAAATCGCACCATGTGAAGTCGACCCGTTATGGGCTTCTTCAGTGGATTATCATGCCTCATACGTCTTACATTTCTGTGTGGCTGCTTTGTACTAGCAGTTGTTCCCATTTCGTTAAATCGTTGTCTTGCTAGAAATAAAGAAACATGAAAGGGATATCAAAAGTATGGAATTGATGGACTGGAATATTCTGTGTTGAGAACAGTTATCGGTCGTTGAAGTTGGTTTTCATGCAGATAACTGTTTAATTTTAACTAACTTTCAAAGTTCAGCATTCTAAAGGCGTTATTTTGTAGCCAAACCTTGTTGCCAACTTAATAATTTTGGCAGTTTATTTACAAAAAATGCAGTTTTAAAAATGTTTATCTACCTTTTCCTGTGATTTAGGAGAGCCGAAAGGATAGCTGCTTTTCTTGTTGAACGAAATCGTTTAAACGTTGGTGATCATGTAGCGTTGATTTTCCCACCGGGCATAGACCTTATTGCCGCCTTCTACGGATGCCTTGTTGCTGGTAAGAATGGTTGTACTCAGCACATTCACACTGAAAAAATAAAAGAAACAAAGAGTTGCGTGGTCATTTTCTATTTTTTGTTGACAGGGCGGGTAATATACTTTGAATTCAACGCACACCGCGTCCAATGAAGATTTAGGCATGTCGACTAACGTGATTATATATATATATATATATATATATGCATATATGTATACGTATATGCGTATGTATATTATATACGTATATATATGTATGTATTCATGCAATTTAAAAAATCAATGAAGTGGTTCCACCTTACACCTACCGTCTTCAGTTTGAAATGAAAAAATTGTGGTGCCGCTAACTTCGCTTGATGTATTACATTTGAATTTCAATAATGATTTATAGGTGTCGTTCCTGTGTCCGTTCGTGCACCATCAGCAGCATCTCTGCGGTCGGAACTTGCATCGATTCGAATGATTGTAGATGTCAGTAGAGCAGTAGCAATCATATCGAATACTGCTGTCTGTAAGCTGTTGAAGGTAGAGAGGATATGCAGTTGTTTTCATATAAAATGTTGGGCAAGGTTTCTTTTCCCGAAAGCTTAAACTCATCCTCTTTTAAGAGTAAAGAGGCTGCTCATCGGGTAGACTCCAAAGCCTGGCCGATGATCCTTGATATCGAAGATTCTCCGACTTCTTGGAAGAGAAAAACCAGCTCGGATTACTCGGACCCGTTGCCAACTGATGCATGTTATCTGGTTAGTTGTCTCTTAGAAATTGATTTCAAGAAAATGGAATTTGCTTTTAGGACTTTTCTGTGAGCACAACTGGTCAACTAGTAGGTGTAATTGTTAGTGTGGGAGGAGCCTTAAGTATGTGCAGAAGCTTAAAGGTTTGTTCTTTTCTGATTATGTTACATTCTGATTGGTTTTTTAAAACCTTAATCAGAAGTTCTGACACCATCACTATTGAATGTCAATAGTATTTCGAATGCTGGTTAATTTTCTTCAACTTCACTCTGCCTCAACTCGTCGACACATTTACTACTGCGTACGTCGTTCGCCACACATGTTGAACTCAATCCGTACATGTGTTTGAGTTGTTGAGCCTACACGAGGTTCATAAACAGCTGTATTCGGCTAGTCTTTCGGTGTCTTCGTCTTCGTTAAAGCCGATGGTCGGAGTTGATGGTCAACAGTTGTTCGTCTTCTCGATGTGGCATCCTCTTCTTTAATCATCCAGCGACGTTGTTTTACACAGGATCTATACCATGCTGCTATCAACAACCAGCATCCTGTATAACAACCAGTATCCTGTATAAAAGTGCATCACCTGGCGAGTATCTCTCATTCGAGAGATGATCCACTGAGGGCAATTCGACTCGATACGAAGACGAAGACGCTACTTTGAGAAGACGGACAGCTGTGGATCATCGACTCCGATCATTGGCTCTTATGAAGACGAAGACGTTGTATCGTTAGCCGAATAAAAATTATTTATCAAGCTCGTGTAAGTTCAACAATCTAAAAAGATGTTGATTTGAGGGAAGTCGGTTTTGAAATATTGTTACCCCCAACGCGTACAGTTTGAAATGCGCTCAGAACAGAGACATTTGGCATTATCTTATCTGCAACAATCTTTTGTATTAGTGAAGCCTTAATGGGACTCATGTATTAGTATTTGTGCTTTGAAGACATCTTGATGTGCTTCTGCTTGATAACTTCCTCTATGTTACTGCATCTGTGCAGTAAGGAAGGAGTCCACCGGATCCATAGAGATGAATAAATTTGTCTGGTTTTGTAAATTGTAGTATGTACAAAATAGTCGTTCTCACACCACGTCAGGTACTACGTTTGACGGAAGCTACTGATTTCATTATTGCAAAATCTGTCGTTGGAAACGTTTGTGCCGAAGAGTAATAATCGCAAAGAGACGATATTAGATCAATTGGTCGTGAATGTACTAAAGAGGCTGCTCAAATTTTGCATTGTTTCTCATCACATGTATCAGGTAAATGCATATCAAGACGAATAGTTTTTTCAGGTCGCTTGTGAACTTTATCCTTCACGTCATGTAGCGCTATGCCTTGACCCATACTCCGGTCTTGGTTTTGCATTGTGGTGTCTTTCAAGTATTTATTCTGGACACCATACCATTTTAATTCCACCAACCGAGGTGGAATCTTGTCCATCACTGTGGTTAACGACTGTTTCTACATTGAAAGGTCAGATCAAATATGTTGATGTCCTTCTTCAAGAGATTTTCCGAAGTTGTTAGTTTTTAAGTTCGTGACACTTTTGCAACCTACGGTGTGCTTGGACTGTGTGTACAAGAATTGGCATCCCAAGTTTCGGCACTTAAGGAGAAAGGCGTTAATCTTTCTTGGTTGGTTTTTATATCAGAAATTAAATTATTTTACTGTTTTCATTATTCTCACACTCCTGCATGTTTATCTTCTAATATTTTAAAACGAACCAACTAATATGAAGTTTACTTTCAATCGTCCACATTCAAAACGTTTTCCCTAATTGGGAGCATAGTAACGAAAAGCAGGCACTCTATAAATGGTCCACGTTCATGGTTCCAAAGAAGAGAATATTCCGAATAGTTTTTGGACCTTATCAAGTTTAGGGAATGGACAAACGAACAGTCTTCTTTTCTAGCAGGCTGCGAATGTACACTGATTTCAATGCACCAAGCTAAAGCTTTGGAAGTCCTCGTCGTTGATCAATCCTTGAGGGATGCTCCGTGCAATCGACTTCATCTAGCATCGTTGAAAGTAATTGAATACATATCTAGCCTATATAATGATTGCGGTGGCCTACCGGTGTTGCAGATCAGTGATACTATTCTCCTAGACAGGTTTGGTGTCAATTTGATGACCTCGGGGAATGTGGAGGGCTTGGTGAGGATCAGGATCGAACTGGCGGTCGTGTGTATTGCAGAACACCTGTAACCACTGCGTTACACGAGCCCCAACGCATAATTTTTAGGGATAATTTCACCTTTAAACCTTAAACGAACATATCTTAGCTCATGATGAACTTTTTAAGTGGAATTAACTTTTTTAAAATTCTTAGTTACCACAGATCTTTGCTAATATGGTCATCTTTTCTTATTCTATCAAGGTGAAATTATGATTCTGTGGAATTATGAAAGGTTTTTTTTTCGGTTTCTACATCGACGCTTTCAAATTCCCTAAAGTTCTGAAGTGCTCTAGCTATAGAAATAAATACTAAGTGCTCTAAGTAAAGTAAGTTAGTGAAGGAGTAAGTGGTTTAGTAAGTGAAGAGATAAGAAGGACATTAGCAATAGAAAAATGATCAGTACTTACTGGAAAACAAGTTTCATCGAAAATGCATCAAAATATAACAAAGAGGAGAGCTAAACTTGGGTCACTATGAGATCCGCTATGTTTCGACATGTTTGATAATTGAGATATTCAGCGATCGTTTAATTATGTATGAAGAACGGTTCCCATCAGTAAGGCAAGAATCTCTTCCAAGGACATATTCTTTTGTCGATTACTTATTTGTCCTTTTCACTACTTGTTCAATTTGTCGCGCGTTTTTCATGAAGCTGAATTGGACTTCAGTGTTCGAACTTGCGTCATAGTAGCTGAAGAGCGACCTCGAGCAACGTTGGTGAACGCATTCTCCCGTCTGTTTGCGCCTTTATGGCTATCACCACGAGCCGTTTCGACCTCGTTTGGATGTCGTGTGAATGCTGCTATTTGCATGCAGGTAAGAAGTAGCTCGTTTGCAGTTGTCTTACTTAAGTTTGTTTTCATACAATGAAATTTTTTTTTCAGGGTGCATCAGGACCAGATCCCTCCAGCGTTTATGTGGATGCAAGAGCATTACGAAACGACCGAGTTACTCTTGTTGGAAAAGGCGCACCGCATAGTTTGCTGTTAATGGAGAGTGGAAAGGTTTGTGTTCGTTTGACGTCGAAAACTATAGACATTCTGACCTTGTGCGAGGATGCCGGCAGACAAACATTTTGTAGAACAACTTGACCTTTATCTACAAATAGATGCTTTGTCTAATATATACGTAGTTTGTTGGGCGCTTTAAAATCTGTATCAGATTCACTCTACCATTTAACCCTATGAAGCGTAAGCTTGTGAGCCAATTCTGTTCATGAGTAAGTTCATAGGTTCACAGTGGTAGGAAAGATTCGGACGACTTTTTTGCTGGTTCAGTTTGTGTTTTTCCTGTTTTTTTTTTCCAGCGCTATATTGTACAAATAAGTGTATCTTTAGGCTGTTTATTATTTTATTTTATAGAAAAACCCTTGCACTACGCTTGTGTTTTTCTTTATATGTGGTTATTTTTTGCCCTTTTTCTATGTGACTTTCTTTGAAAAAAGATGTGATTGCGATTTTTTTTCTTATAAGTGACGTCCTCACATTGTTTGTATTCAGCTGCTTCCTGGAGTGAAGGTGGTGATCGCTAATCCAGAAACACGTGGCCAGTGTGCTGATTCGCATCTAGGTGAAATATGGGTAAGTCCTTTTCATCGTTTGAAATTCCAAGAAGTCGTTTACGATCGATAGACAAAGAAGAACGCGCATTCCGCATCCAAGCCAATTATTTTCAGACCAAAGCTAATTCACTTACGTATTTTTTTTGTTTCATTAGAGTCTTCATCACATACAATCAAGAGAGGTTGTAAATTAGATGTAAATTAGTTGGTGTTGTCAACAGCATGCTGGTTGTGCTTGGTTTAAAAGTCTTATTTGTCTCCCAATCTGTTGTTTCCAGGTGTCGGCCCCTCACAATGCCTTAGGGTATTTCACGGTGTACGGTGAAGAGACTAATCTTCAAACTGATCATTTCAATGCTCGTCTAGCCTTCGGTGACACTATGACGAAGTAAGGCATAGTCTGTTTGCTGATTAGTCAAATTATTTATCACATTTGTTATGTGGCGCATTGTGAACCGTAGTGTGGTCGAAGTCATTTCGTACAAAGAATAGTAATATTTCAAAACCGACTTTCCTTTAACCTCGGTATGACTGGTCAATATGCATTCTTTCTTTGATGAGCTTATACGAACTTGATAAGTATTCTTTATTTTCGGTAACGTTTCAACGGTTTCGTTTTCATCAGAGCCGATGAACCGAGTTGATGGTTCACCGACCATGGTGGCTCTGATGAAGACGAAACCGTCGAAACGTTAGCCAAAAATAAAACGTATTTATCAACCTCGTGAAAGCTTATCAAAGAAAGAATACATATTCATTTCATGCATTCACATTCCATTCATGTATCTTTATAACTATTGGAAACTAATACAAACAACAATGCTGAGACGTTTGCAAAACATCACAACCCGGTCCAACTTCGAACCCATGCGTACCCTTACGTGTGTAATCGAAGCTAGCTTGGCTCTCAGTTCTGGAGGTATCTCATCATCATTTTGGTGATATTTTGCGTAATATCCTGCCATGAAACAAATAATAGGCAGTAAATTAAAGGCTAAACATCTTGAAAAGGTATTTCAGAAGATCTAAAGCCAAAGTAATAAGACCGATCACTAGTTCATTAAGGAAGTTGTGGTTTTATCTACTCAGTACTACTAAACAGCGATATTTTCAGGTTCGCACGTACTGGTTATCTAGGTTTTCTTCGCCAAACCCAATCAATCACGGAAGACGGTGAGCTGCATGATGCAGTCTTCGTCGTAGGAGCACTTGAAGAAACACTTATGCTGCGAGGAATGCGCTACCATCCAGTTGACATTGAGGCGACCATATCGCGTTGTCATAAGTACTTAGGAGATTGGTGAGAGTATAGCTGTTTTATGTTTGCCTTTTTCTTAATAAACAATACTTATAGTGCTGTATTTACATGGAGCCATTTGATAGTGGTTGTCGCCGAGTGTTCCGGTGCCGAAAGTGACGCACTCGATCTAGTGCCGGCTGTAACATCTTCGGTGAATATTTACATAAATACTAGCATATTAGTAAATTTGCACGGATTTGTAATCCAGGATCGGTGAAACCCTTAAGAACTTACTGGTGAAATCATTTACGCTGTTCAAAACAAGCTTATGCTCGAGTACATTACGCTTTTACTACAACAACAGCTGTAATTGCGAATCCAGCGGTTTCTAACTTCAGATTGTCTATACTATTATATACTTGGATATTTGGATGGCCTGTTTTCACTGTTATGTGGGCCTAGAATAATTTCCATTCTCTGGAGATTTGCTGGTTTAGCCATCGTGGTTCCCTAGAGTCCCGAGGTTAGCCTGGCCAAAGTCTGGGCCAGGTCGTCACCACCACAGGCAGTCGCCATCTTTGTAGATTAGAGGATTTGCCACCATTCGACTAGTTCGATACCAGGATGGTGGTGGATCGTGGTGTTGGTTTACTCTTAGCTGGGTTTCCTTGTGGAAACGCCGGACTTCTCAGCTCAGGAGATCTTGCCGAGGTGATGGATCTCTCCGTTGTGCGTCGCAGCCCGCCATCCAGGAACACCTAGCTACAATGACACGGTAGATATCTTCATTTTTTATTTCAATGTTATTATCTCGCTTATGTAGTGGCTTTCCTAATGTATCACCACGGTTATACGGTAAAGGATTAACTTATAGCATTTTATTTATCTTCTTGTTCACTTTCTCCGTCATAGGTTTTGGTTATCAACAATTTACAGGTCCTTGAAGAGCACTATCTAATCGTTGGCGTCGTAGTAATTGTCGATCCGAACACCATACCAATGAACACGAGGGGTGAAAAACAACGACATCTGCTACGAGAGAATTTCCTTCATGATCAGTTGGATCCTATTTACGTTGCTTACAATATGTGAATATATTCTTTTACAATTATCTCTTTCATATCATCAATCTTTATTTCTCCGATGTTATTATCTCTCCTATGTGGTTGGCTTTCGTAATGTATCACTACAGTGATACCGTAAAGAGTAATAAATACTTAAATGTTTAATTAATTGAAAATGTTTTTGTGTTGTATTTTTCTCCGAATGCCGTTCACATCTCAGATTGTTCGGACCACTGTTGTTTGTTATCATCCTGTATAGTATTTGGGTTCGATAGAATATTTTCTTTAGTCATAAGCTCCATCGTTGTATATTTCTATCATAGAGCAGCGCTTTCGCAACGCCAAATCTTCGCTACGTCTTGCCTTACATAAACTTTGATTCGCTGTTCGTTTTTTCTCGTGTCGTGTTTTTTCCGCTCTTGTATGTAAAGTTGCTCAGTCATTTTGTGATAGTCATAGGTTTTCCCTTCATCAATGTCTAGCTACACTAGGGATGTAGTTTTCCGTTTGCTCGTTCTTCACGAACTGAATATGAAGCTGTACACTAATAAGGCAGAAATTTATTTCTCAACTTGTTGTTTCTGTTGGCTAGTGGCAACATCATCCGCATGAATAAAGGAGGAATCCCTTAACATATCACTGTGTGCAGAAGAGTCGGAAGACAAGGATGAACTAGTTGCAGTAGGTAATGAAGTGGTGGGATCAAATTATGGAATACTGGAGATGGATGCTATGCTACTAAAACAACAAAGAGACTATGTCTTGACTCCAGCTATACTGAGCAATGTTGATGTGGCATAGAGCATTGGGACCTCCACCCTCAGATACTTCGTTCTTTGAGACTTTTCTGTCGACTGGGGAATTTCCTTGAGTGTCCTCTAAGATACATTTCACTTAAACCTTTTTCTCGTCGGAGAAATGCTTGCGCGACTTTGTCGTATGGACTGCGCTTTTTGAGCATCTGAAAAACAAAATGGAATGGTACTGGTCCAACAATAAGCTGCAAATCACTCACCTTGTAATACGGTAGGTGGTGTCCGACAAGTGGTTCGACGAGGTGGAAAGCTTGTGCCGGAGGCAGATTCTTGATGGAAAGGCTGTTCATTCGTGGAAACCGGCTAGTGGCGAGTAATGTGTGACCAATCAATTTGTCGTTGATTCTGCATTCGTAGAGTTCCTTACTTGAACAACTGACTTAATGTCCATATTTGACAACGTTCACTAAATCTATTCCAGGCTTCTTCAAATATTGTGGTCTCGAATACGGTTTCAATCCTTTATCCTCCACATTACTAGTTTATTTCGGTTGTTACTGGGCAAAAAAGTGCGGTCAAAAAATCTTAAAATTAAAAATCTAAGCAAAAGTGTATTTTAACTCAGATCTTAGGCCCCAATACAATATACACTTGATACTTGAACAGCCCTTCCTTACTGGTAGTGCGGGTACCAGCATATTCTCCATTTTTGGGAGTTTTGATGGTTTAGCAATTACGTTTCCCCTGGAGTCTCGAGGTCAGCCTGCCCAAAGTATGCCCCAGGTCGACGCCATCACAGGCAGTCGCCGCCCTTGTGGATCAGAGGGAGATTTGCCACCATGCGACTTTGATACCACCACTGTTGTGGATCCTGATAGTGGTTTACTCTTAGCTAGGCTTCTTGATGGAAACGTCATTCTCCTTCTATTCAATATATATGTGAGAATATGTATATGTAATATGACTACAATATGTATGTGAGGATATTCAAAACCGACTGTCATATAACCTCGGTATGACTGATCAATAAATATTCTTCCTTTAGTAGGCCTATACGAGGTTGACAAATATAAAGAGATAAACAACATAATAATAACCAACAAATGGTGTAATAATCAAGAGGGCGGATAGCACAGTGGTAGTGATGCCTGTCATCAAGAGCATGGTACTAGTTCGACTCCGCACCTGGACAACCAAGCCTCTCATCCCTCCGGGGTCGGGAAATTGGTATCGGGCTTGCCTGCGAAAAAAATCGCTCTCTGCAATCCAGCTGGGAACGCTCCAGCCCGGCTATCTCACGACTCTAGGGTGCTCGACCAGCAATCTACGACATTCAAGATGAAAGGGAAATCCTCATGCTGCAACCGAAGCCACACGTAAAAGTTGGAAGATCTTCGTCGACAATGGATACACGGGGAAACGAATCTTGATACTTGAGTGGCCCGTCCTCAATAGTTGTGCGTGCCCCAGCATAATCACCATTTTTCGGAGATTTGTTGGTTAAGCCATCAAGGTTTCCTGGAGTCCCAAGGTCAGCCTGGCCAAAGTCTGCCTCACGTCTTCACCACCAAGCAGTCACAGCCCTTGTGGATCAGAGGGAGATTTGCCACCATGCGACTAGTTTCATACTAGGACGGTGGCGGATCCTGGTGTTGGTTTACTCTTAGCTGGGCTTCCTCATGGAAACTCCGGACTCCTTGACAGCTTGGGAGACCCTGCCAGGGGATGAATCCCCTCGCTGTACATCGTAGCCCGGCACCCAGCAACACCTCCTAGCCACAATGAGGCAGTAAACCGTTGGGAGAGAGGAAAGGAATCGAATGAGAGAAGTTCTGGGATCCGCACAGTGGACGTGAAGAAGAGTCAGCACCTGTCACCTGTAGTATCACCTGTATAATCCCGTTGATCGTCGAGTGATTAGAGCGGGTGCTAGTAAATCTTCTATTTTTCCCTGTCGAGTGCCAAAGTAGCCCAGTGGGTTCTGCTCGCTCTCGGGACTCGTCGAGCATCATATCTTTCTTCAAGGGTCTTTGTGAAGAACTCTGACCAACGGGTCGGTGGTCTTCCTGCAGTACGTTTGCGATCCCGAGGAATCCAGTCACTAATGGCTCTTGTCCATCGGTTGTCATTCATACGCATTACGTGTCCGGCCCATCTCATCTTCAACTGTTTGGCGTACAGAACGGCATCTTTGACTTTTCAACGTTGACGCAGATCGGTGCTTCGGATCCCATCCCTTACTTGTGTGCAACGGGATACTCCTAGCATCGTCCTTTCGACTGCGCGTTCAATAAAGCTGAGTGACCTTTCATCCTGCTTACGCAGCAACCAGATCTCTGACGCATACGTCAGAGCAGGAAATACCGTTGAGCCGAAAAGGTGGGCACGGAGTCGGGCGTTTTTTGTTCTTTTCACTACATCCTCGTTGCTCTTGAAAGCTCACCAAGCCGCTCATTTCCTTCTGCTCGGCTATGGGGCTAGGCCGTCCATTATATTGATTTCCCGACCTAAATAGATATAACTGGAGCATTCGGAGATATTCGTTCCGCTGAGCGTGAATGGGGCATGCGAAACCAGTCCATTCTTCATGAACATCACTTTCTGAGATTTAGTCGAAGACCAATCTTTCCACAGGATTTATCAAAGTCGTCAAGCATACGTTCCGTTTGGCTAATGTTTGGTCTTACAAGGACGATGTCATCAGCAAAGCGAAGATGGTGTAACTGCCGATCATCGATTTTTACTCGCATATTATCCCATTCCAATGTTCTCATGACGTTCTGGAGGGTGGCGATAAATAATTTTGGCGAGATGGTATCGCCTTGTCTTACTCCTCTTTTCACGTCAATGTTAATATCGTTGTACAGTGGTGATACCTTGGTTGTGAAATTTTTGTACAGCTCACGAAGAATCTTTATGTACTGAGCAGGAACTTCTTGATTATCAAGGGCTTCCAAGACTGCTTCTATCTCAACTAAATCAAAGGCCTTCTGTAAGTCGATGAAAGTGAGACAGCGCGTTCTTTTGTACGCTCGCGATACCTCGATGAGACGTGTTAGCGTGTGGATATGGTCCATCGTACTAAATCTTTTTCGAAACCCTGCTTGCTTACATGGCTGTCTTTCGTCTAGTGTTCTGTCAATGCTGTTTAGGATGACTCAAGCGAGAAGTTTGTAGACGAAAAACAGCGAGCAGATTGGGCGAGAGTTGCCGATATCGTGTAGGTCACCCTTCTCGAACAATAACACGGTCTTGCTGGTCTTCCACTGAGTAGGAACCTTGCATTCAGACAGGTAACGTGTGAACAGCCGAGCCAGTGTGTTTACGAAGACTGGCGGAAGGTTCTTCAGGTGTTCTGGTCTTATCATGTCCGGACCTGGTTTTGTTCGATTTTTCACCGACGAAATGGCATGTCGGATTTCGGAAGGGAGAACCGGTGGTACAACATATCCATCCTCCTTTATTTCATATGACGGAAGGTAGACGTGGCTATCGAAGAGATCCGAGTAGTATTCGTGAATGGTTTTCTCCAATGCCTTTCTGGACACTGTAACTGTTCCGTTTAGGCACCGGAGAGCAATCATTTTGGTCCTGTAATTAGCGAAGCTTCGATGGGCTTTGCGAATGCTTTTTCCAGCCTCTGCAGCTTCGGCCATTACTGCTGCTCTTTTCTCTCTAAGATCTTCTTTTATCGCCTCTCTGCATTGCTTTGCAAGTTCGGACGTTAGTTCGCGGTTGCCTGCAGCTCGCACGATTCCACGCTGGAGTATCAGCTCGAGTGTTTCTGGGGACAGACGTCTCTTGGTGACTTTCGAACTCTCGACTTTCATAGCGCTACCGTGAAGATGTTGAATGAGCCGATCGTATTCTTCGTCGATGTTATCGACAACGGAATCTTCCCAACAGCCGACTAGTGAATTAAATAAGTCCCAGTTTGCGGTGGTTCTGGAACCTTGGTTTTGGAATTTAACGGGTTTTCTCCTTTCCGCGAGAAATAGAATCTCGCATGAAGGAGACGATGGTCTGATCCCGTGTAGAATTTTGGTACAACAGCGAAATCGGTTAGGCAAAACCTATTTGCTATGATGTGGTCTATTTCGTTATGGTACTCTCCACTGGGAAACTCTCACGTCCAGCGCTGAGGGTGGGGCTTCTGTAATTGCGAGTTACCATGGATTGTCTTGGTCGCCATGATAAATGTCTCCAAGTCCATATAGAACGCTTCGACTTCTTCTTCGTCATAGTTTGATGTCGGCGCGTAAACGATGAAGATTGTCAAAGCCGGAATTGATCCACGACTTTTTAATCGTAAACGTCCGATTCGGGTTGTAAAATGCTCACGGACAAACTCGTGTTGACGAGATAGCCGACGCCACCCCTCTATTGTCGCATGTTCCGAGGCACAGTTCTTCGTTGGTGTCATACACGGCGTTGAATGGGTGGCGTCATTTCGTCTCTGCGAGACTGATGACGTCGTACCTCATCCTTCTTGCTTGCATGAGCAAGTCTTCTATCGAGGACTCGGATGCCAGTGTACGTGCATTGTAGGTACAATTCGTCACCATAGTTCTTTGAAATCCAGGCAGCTTCCATTGGCCCTGAGATTTTAGCAGGCTCTCCGTACTCGTCCTACCCAACGCTGCGAAATTGGGGGCTCTTTCGGAGTCAGGAGAATGAGGCCCGTTTTTTTACTGTGTTTAGTATTTTTGGTACCCACGTATAGCTTGCTGGGCTCTGAACGTGGGGGCTGGGTATACTCATGAGTAGCTTACCAGGTTCTCCCAGAGTGAACATGAGCTTATTTGTTGGAGGCGACTCCTAACCCCCTCCTATATATTTCTCAGTCACTTGATTGCAGGTTTTTGGCCAAGTTGACTCGTAGAATACAATCCGCATAGGCGAGAACGCACTCACACACGCATGCATGAATACGCCTAGCAAATACAGAAAGTATGTGCCAAATCAGCGCAGCAGAAACAGCAAGTCCATCCCTGGATCCACCTGCGCTCCATGGAAGCAAAGGTCGCTTTTGCTCCGCGATTAACCACCTATCCGCCACCTGGGGACGCGTCACGTAGCCTCGCGACTAACTGCTCGAGATGTCTCATATGAGAGTGATGATCCGTGGATCAATTTGGAAAACGTGAATCCCAACCATATAATCCGCAATTATAAAATTAAGTGACAATATCTATTTACTACCAACGAAGATAGGCCAATAGTTAGACATACCGATCATGGTCCAAGACAGAAACACAAAGTGAGGAACCGTGTAAGTAGAAGAGTTGTAGTGGAACCAGGCTGGAATTGTGGTATTGGTTTGTAAGGTCGCTTAGGTAATAATTATGCAAAGGAGTGAGAAAAACCGTGTTCAACTCACAAGTGAAATTCCTGTCTCCATGATAAGTTCTCATAATGAGTGGTCCTTGTTTTCTGCACAGGAAAACAATGTGGCGGATACAAACTGACCGGCAGTAGCTCGAGTTTTACAAACGGTTCGACGCGATCGTACAGTGTGTTCAGCTCCAGAACATTATCGAGGCCAAGAACTGAACACTGTTCTATGTCTCTACGAAAAACACGGTGAGTGTTCAATTTTTGCGACTGTCTAACGTATTCTGTCTATTGTAACCAAACATAGTAAAATCGTGAACCTGCACTACATGTAGAACTCTACTGGTGAATAAGTCGTGTAAGCTCAAAAGAAAATTAATACATCAGCAGAACAACATTATTTTTGCTAGCTTCAAGTGAACCGAATTTTCTGGATATTTGGTACTTTTTTAAATCTGCATTTGCTGCGCGGTGAGCCCAATTGTAGGGATTCAACTCCTTACGCGTATGGTTCCGGTTGCAGCACTAGACCAACCAAGTCTTTCATCCTTCCGCGATCGGCTAATTAGTACCAGACTTGTCTGGGATAGCTCCTTCCGATCCAAAAAGTGTGGAAACTGTCAATGGTGAAGAGCTGGGAACGCTATAACACTGTCGTCCCAGGATTTTAGGAAGAGTCGACCCCTCAGCGTTCAAAGGTATCTTCCAAAAAGAGGACCAAAATCTTCTAGCAGCAACCGAACCCACACGCAAACCCAAAGATCGTCGATGATGGATTTGAGGTAGGAATTAAATAAAACCGGTTTTGGGATCTTCACAATATGTGGTGTCGAGTCATATAAAATTTAGAAAAAAAGTGCGCTCGATACCCGGAAATTTAAATTCTTTGAACAATCTTTCTACATCTACTCAAGCGATTCATTTCTCGGTACCGCTTTGATAAAAAACTGTTTAGGAAACAGTAACGTAAAGAATGGATCAGTATATATTGAAGTAGAGTTTGCCAACCAACCATTAACAATAATCAATGCATTGTCACCACTTGCTAGTACGTATCCGATTTGGATGTTGATGTGAGGCACGCTGCAATTCCAAAATTTAGGAATTTCAACACTGCAGCTTCACGAGAGTTCACATAATCATGAGGAAGTTGGAGAATAATCAATACCTATGTACGGCCTGAGAGCTATTCAGCTACAACTCCCAATATTTCCTACCAAGAACTTTTTCTGCTAATTTCAAAAAGATTACGCAAGCTAATGAGATGAAAAGGAGAGGCTAAAATAAAAATTACAAGCGAACAAAAGGTCTTAAAGATTCTCGGTCACTTACTCAGCCCACCTAGGTCCACCAAGCTTCACCAATTACAAGAGCAAAATGATTACGCTCCGACGTCCAGACGGAAGAGTTACAGCTTTCAGAAAAGCAATAAAGAAAACCATTCACGATTACTACTCGGACTAGAACATTACTATAAGGTCTGGTGTAGCGAAAGCTCGTTTATAGGGGCAGCGTGGCCCACCAAGCTATCTCTAACTTTTGAGCGACACAAATTCAGCTATCAGTTTAGCGTGGATCATCGCACTTCACACATCACTTTCTCTTCAACACATGGTGAAGGCCTTCATCACAGTGTTAAGGAAATACACTTCAGTTCACAAGGAACTTGATTACTTGCAAAAAAACTAGAATCTTTTGATCTTTGCTTACAGGATTCTTTGTTCTACTAAGTCTAAATTCTGATTTTTTTTGAATCCTATATGAAATACGTTTTTCTAGTTTTTGTTCATTTTTTCTTATTTTATTCATCAAGACTAGTATCTCGAGCAAGAGGGCAATTGGATAGGCAGGATTTCATAAAGCATTGATGGTGTCACGCAATGTATTGTTGGTGTTCTGAGCTGCTCTCTCTTGTATCGAAACTTTTAAAAAATTAAACTCCGCAACGATTCTGAGATATTCGCAAAACTTGGACCCCAGGCCAGATCGAACCACGATTCCTTTTTCCAGGGGTTCGCGCATTACACATTGCACCACGGATGCCTTAATCTTTGTTTCTCTCAGCTAGTTTTGTACCTACCTGTGGCACCAGCAATTAATTAATTGAATTAACTTAAATTCCGTTTCAATCTTTGTGATTTTCAGCTCCGAACGAATTTAAGAATGAGAAAGAACTTAAGATTAAGACTCTAAGACCCTATAAATCTGTGGAGTTGGAAATTCGGAAATTCTTCAAACACTACAAGGACGGAACGAATTTAAGTCGCCGAAAAGTAGTCGTAAGAAAACCACCTATAGTTATTATGCGTTAAAAGAATCAGACTGTTTAACACATTCGTTGAAATGTTCGTTTTTCATGGCTACTAATAGTGTGGCTAGTTCGTATATAACCGAAGTACATGAGAATTTGAAAACTTCACGGGACTTTTAGGGAAATTCTCGTTTCTGTGATCGTTTAGCCGTTCAAGATGCGATATTCTACGAAACAATGCAAGAGAAAAAACGCTTTGAAGGAAGTTATACCTTCGTACCATGGTGCAGATATCGAAAAGTAGACGTTCTCACGAATGTGTTAATACGTTGAACCACTTAATGGTAGTAAACCAACGAGTATCCAACCTTCCTTTCTGTTTAACGTTCATTTCCTCGATAATTTGGGCGTAATAGGAAAGAACAAGTTCATTCGTCATAAAGCTGTGTAAATACAATAGTGACGTCGCTTTGGAGGACTCCAACGAGACTCCCAACACATTGATGATCTCTTTCAATGTAATCTGGAAGATTTTCAGTATTGTAAGAAGAATTAAGGTGTTTCTTCGTAAATGAAACCATATAACTCACATAGATTTCGGAATAATATTCCGGATTTCGAGAATCTCGCAAATAACGGAGGATTTCTGTCTCAAGCATTTCGTGGATAATCCGCAAGGCGATTTGCGAGCACCTAAATTCAAGATCATTCGATTCCTTCAACTGCATACTACGAAATGTGACAAATTAATAAAAATGTAAATTGTAAGGGAACTCGGTCACACACGTATTGATTTTCTCCACCTTTTTAAGGAGTCATGTTGTATACAACAATTACCCAAATTTTCAATAGCAACATTACCTTGAAAGAAGATCACTACAAACATTACACGCCAATCTATCCACACTGTCCATGATGCGGTACATTCTTTCCGTCGGATCCCGCACATACACCGTCTTGAAAATAGCACTGTACGTTCTTTGTCACAAGGGAATACTGATTTCTTCCATACCAGTTTCTTGCTATGTTCATAGTTTTGTGTAGTCACAGTGCGAGCTATCCTTATAATATTGTCTCCCAGTGAGCGACAATAAATCCGCAGAAGTTTGTCCATGATCAGTTCACACTTCTTAAAAAATGCTATTTAAACTCAAACAAATTGCTGAGCATTTATCCCTTCACTACCTAAAATTCCTTTGCATATCATTCGTAACCCACCTTTCTCGTACTGTCGAGGACTTTTGTACAGAATCTCTCGACGACAGCCACTTCTTCGATTGGGAGCACCGTCGCCATCCGATCAAAGTCCACAAATCGCCTCCACCTTTCCGACACAAATAGCAGCGCCTGTTCGACACCATTTACTGCTCGAATGATACGCGAATTCTAAGAAGAAGTGTTGTAGAAACACAGAATTTTACAACGAAAGGTGCCCTACCATGTCGGAATTATTCGACATTGCATCATTATGAAGCTTCTTGGTATAGGCGTAGATGTTCTCTGATAAGATCTAAAACGTTGTAGCCCAATCCAGCCATAATTAACAAACTCTGAACTGGAGGAATGACGGACCTGTACTAAAGATATTGACCCCATCAACATGTTCCTCGGTAACTCGAAAGCCAACATCGAGTAGTCATCGGAAAGACCTATGTAAAACAGTTCCAAGCGTACACACTAGAGATCGAGAATATGAATATAATTAAGAGAAAGTTTCAAGAAACACCATAAGGATAAGGATAAGGCTCTCGGCTTTGATCAATCCTTGAAGGATGTGCGATACATTCGACTTCATTAAGCATCGTTTGGAAGTGACTGAATGCATATTTGGCCTTTACAATGACTCGCGGTGGCCTGCCGATGTATCGAGCCAGTGCTGCTATCCTCCCAGACAAGTATGGTACCAATTTGCCGACCCCGAAAGGATGGAAGGCTTGGTGAGCCATGGGCGCGGGGATCAATTCCACGTGTGTGTCGCAGTGGCGCCTCCAATCACTGCGCCACACGCGCTCTAGGAAGCACCATATGATTTATTATATCTTGTGATATTAACTGACTATTAACTACTTTTTGTTTGTTTCATAAAGGCTTGTTCTCAAATTGCATGATTGATTCAGCTACAATATCTTCTTCGATTCTTACGCAAACATTCGGATAACATTTCGATGTCTTCGTCTTCTTCAGAGTCGGATTGATCCGAATCGATGATCCACATGTGGTCGTCGTTGTTCCTTGTCGCATCAGATTGAATCCAACGAGGTAAAATTTAATGGAGAATGAAAGAATATTGTTCGCTATGTGCTATCCAATATAATACCAACTGTTGCAGGATGCATTGGTGCCAAAAAGTAGACCATATTGAATAGCGTAAGTAAATCATCATTCCTCTAGCACCGTCGACTGAGAATCCTGGGATTCCTCATCCGACCGGTGTTCCACTTCAATAGGTTCGACTTGATGCGACAACGAACAACCACACCGCATGGATGACCACCTGTGGATCGTCGATTCAGATCAATCCGGCTATGAGGAATACGAAGACGTCGAAACGTTAACCCAATGAATCCTTTTATCAACTTTGTGTTTGCTTAATGATCGAAGGAAGTACTGAATATTTTTTGCCAAGGTTTAATAAAAGTCGATTTGGAAAATATTCAGTTGCATTCGAAATGAACTTGTTACTGAAAAGTTAACGGAACATAAGTTGTCGATTGTTGTCGTTGACATAAGTTGTCAAAAAACAGGCTTCATTTTATGGTCGTAGGTACGAAGTCATTTTTGCAAAGAACTCCGAAACATTCGATTTATTGTGCAGTAACTGGTATTGAGTACCTTTCTGTATACAAAGAAAAGAGTACAGGCCAGCAGGTAAAGGACGATGTTCATATTTTGACACATCACCATCACTGTCCAACGATATGGTACGAGTAACCTAGACACAATGCATTGATGTATCTAGCTTTCAGCGACCTATTCGATGTATCATCCAGCACGATTTCTACAATGCATGTCACTCACCATTTTGAGACTTACATCCCGCCAAGAATATGTCCAGAACACAGTCACATCCAAAAACCAGGTTTCAAAGTCGTAGATTAGAAGCCTTTCTACGCTAAAGTATGGTGTAGTGTCACTAAATAGACTCTAGAGATTCAAAGCATCAAAGGATGTTAAGTAGTACCAACTCTGTTAACCTTTTACTTTCTGTCTGTTATAATTGTTCACGGCAGGGTATGATGGGAGACATAACCACAACGATGCTGAGATATTCGTAAAACATCTACCCCGAGGGCCAGATCGAACCACGATTAACCTTCCCATGGGCTCCCGTATTACACACTGCACCACGGAGGCGCTTGCTTTGCGTGTTTCTCGGCCAGTTTTCTACCTATCGCTACAATCAGCAATCACCTGTCAGCGAGATTGATCTAAGGAACACAAATCGGCATTGAACCCAATTAAGCTGAGGCTGTAGTTTTTTTTTAGACCTGTCCTTTTTTAGTACCGACTCTGTGATAACATTTTCAGAAACACTATTTAATACTAATAGCACTAACGGTAGAGGCTTACAAATTCGGAATGACGAGTGGAACAGTTAATATTCTGCAATTTCCATAATAAGCGAGACTTACTTATTTTTTCTCCCAAGACGAACAAGAGAATGCAGCGTGTCATAAAACCTCATGGTGCACTTTGTGAAAATTTCTAACTGACCAGTTTGACGTGAGTCCAGTTGCATGAGTCTCTCACTCAAATAAGAACGACCAAATAGTTCTAACTAAAATGTATCATGTTAGTGTGAATCTGGATAACTACTAGCGCCCAAACAGTTTACTCCCTATTACCTTCTCGTCGGTCGTCCTCAAAGTCACTTCTACGTAGTTAACGTTGAATTGCTGGAAGAATAGATTGTAGCTAAGGTAGTTACGTTGCATCATTTCCCACATCGTTTGAATCGTTATGCAGAATTCCTGAATAAGCTCGGCGATAAACGTGTAAAAAATGAAATAAAGGACCAGAGGAATTTCTGACAGCTCGTCATTTTCAACTTCTATTATAAATCGTAAGAGTTCACCTTAACATCTTTCAGGTGTGGTCGAAATTCTTGATACATCCACTCCTCAGCGCATTCCACTATCATAGAGACGAGCTGCTCGGTCAAAACTGATGATGGGTGCTGGGAATTATATACGTCCCATGCACGTAGCATGCAGATATCCACAGCTGGCCTAGGTTTTTCGGGGTAAAAAGATAAAAGGTGAACGGTTTGGAGTTCCCTTGTTTGTAATCAATCTCTGGTGGCACTTCATACACTGGAATTCGTCTCGTAGAGTTGATTGATTGCATATACAGTACAACAATGGATTTTACGATGGCCTACCGATGTAAATCAGTGATTTTATCCTCCCAGACAAGTTTGATACCTATCTCAGAGCAATGGAAAGCTTGGTGAACACGCAGTGCGGAGAAATAGGGCCTAGTGTCTACTCTGGGACACCTCTACAACGCGCTACACGTGCCTACTATCACAGAGATACTGTTGCTAGTCCCAGTATAATAGGTCTAATACCTGTGATTGATTTCTAAGCGAAATATAAGTTTACTTATTAGACAGCGATAAAGTCCTCATTTTCCAAAATGTTTTCTCCATTTTTTTGTTGAGGTTTGTAGCTGGAGTAGTGAAGCAATCGATCAAGTGGGATTTATCAAGTAGGACACGATTATATTGTCTGAAAATGAGTTGACAGTGTGGGTAATCTCCGTGCTTGTGTCCAAGGGGAGGTCTCATCATGTTACTACTTCTTGCTTCCAAATTGAAATTTTGAATTACGAAATAATGATTTAGAAAGCTTTGTACGCCTTCTCAGCTATATGGCGAAAATTCAATATATTTCTCCAGTCCTCGCGACTTGTCACAAGAACACCAGTTATCGAGGAATTAGCGACGGTTGCAGGAAAACCCATATGACCATAAATATGAAAAACACACGTTTTTCAAAGGCGTCTCAAAAGTTCCTGAGGTGACCAAGCAGGTGCAAGTAGGCTTCTAGGTCTAATTAAGCACCTGTCAGTAATGGAAGTGTTCCTTTTTTTTCAGATATTTCAGAATAAGACGTACTTCAGCGCAGTGTTCATGTTTTTCAAACTGAGATAGTCGTTTGGCGGAAAGAGCGGATTGTGGGGGAATTGTTGAAGAATGTCATGAAACTCTGCGACCAAACATTCCGCTAGATGACACAAAGCGGTCTCCTTAAAGGTGTTACATTACGAAACTTCTAGAACCCAAATGAACCGATGTATGCTTCCAGAAGTGCTTGCATGTATCGACAATATCATGAGCAGTCACAATAACAAAAAACTCTAACTTTCATCCAAGAGTACAATTTTAAATGAAAGTCGACTTCGTAGACTGTCTGGCGCAAATGTTTAAAACAAAATATCAAACCACTTGAGACGTCAAGTCAACGAAGGCATCCAATCTCACTGTCATAATATCCAAGAGGGACTCCAAACTCAGAAATATACTACGCAAACACCTACTCAATGATATAACCTATGAAACAAACAATAATCTTTTGTTTTAGGCACTGAACATACCAAGATGTCACATCTTTCGAAATTTTGTTGCGCTTCGAGTAGCTTTATCAGTCGAGTGATAGCCATGTCGTCCAGACATACTTGGGTATTGTCCCATACGAGAAACACAGACAGTGATCTGCAACTATGCCCGTCTAAATTCATTCGGGATTTGTCGAACTGACGTGGAAACCTTGTGAACATTCAGAAGAAACTTTTGCAGACAAATTAGAAGAGGCGAGTAGCGCAGTGGCAGCGATAGTTTTCATCAGATATAGGGGACAGGCTCGATTCTGCCCCAGGCTCACGCATTTCGTGCAATCCAAGTGGAACGCTCTAACCCGACTATCACAGGACCTTGGGGTTAATCTACTCGACAGGCATTCAGCGAGATTCGAAAGAATTTGACAACCCTCAAACAGTAGGCGAACCCACACGGGAAAAAGTTGGAAGACCTTCGTGGATGATGCAGGCGAGGAAATGAATTGAATCCAAGGAGCGCTGGACCCACCCCGTAGATGTGAAGATGGGTCGTGTAAAAAAAATAAATTGAAGATTATAGATAAGATGATATTTACAAAAGATATTGATTGAAAGATACTTCTTAATAATGTGTGATCAATCATTTTTATGATTGGATTTCTTTCCATTTGGTATTATACAGCAGTCAGAAACAAATCGAGAATGAGGAAACGTACATGATCGTAATGACATCTAGTGGTACGCGCAAGAAATGAGCGATGCGACGGAGAAGAGCGAACGATTTGCTTGATAGTTCACCTGAGTACTTGCCTGACTAAAAACAAAAGCTTCAGAGTGAAGTAATATTTTCTTACAACCGACTTTCATTTAACCACGGTATAAATAATCAATGTCTATTCCTTCACTGGCAAGCTAACATGAAGCCGATAAATTAGACTAATATTTCGTGGCATTACCTTCTTCAGAGCGGGATTGGTCAATGGTCCACAGCCATTCGTTCTTTCAATGTGGATTTTCGTGACTACATTGAGTCCAATCCCGTAGAGCACCACCCGAATGAGGTAAGGTCACTCGGCATTGCTTTTTCATATAACACACATTGGAATAATAAGGAGCTGTAAACAATCGAAATATATCAATCCGGCTCTGAAGAAAGCGAAGGCGTCGAGAGGCTAACCGAATAGTTTTTTTTTTTTTGAATCAGTCTCGTGTTAGCTTATCAATGAAAGAGAAACCTCGGAATAAGAGAATAATACAAGTCATCGAAGCGAAGTATTCAGATATTTTCCTTTCCAATTTCCAAGACCGAATTCCCATTAACCTCAGCAGTGATCAGCAATTTGCCGTTTTCTTGATAAGTACATACGAGATTATCATACTGTTCATTCCCAAAATATGGCAAATCGGCGGATTTCACCATCTTCAGACCCAGAAAAAGTCAAGTCAAGTTGACAGCAATCTAGTCGCATAACCCCAATAGGAAAACTTGAAACCTAGGTTTCAATCGCATAGGGAACAAAATAGCTTCTTCACACACTCAACATTTTCTGCCCGTCCTCGATTGAATACTTTACTTGGAGGCCAACTGCACAGAGTTTAGTTGGATGGCATAGCAACTATTCCCTGACTAGTTCCTATTTTTATGTTTCTGACAGTAACTATATTTACTCATAACCACATTTATCCCTGTACACTTTGCAAATTGCTTCTTAGCCACTATCTCATGCTCCTGCTTCGCAGCTGGCTGGAAGGGGCTTCTGTAACTTCTTTCTAAGAGCTCTTCATCTTTGTCCGACAGTTAGGGCACGGAGTGAGCTGCATGCCCTTCCCAGCATCTACCGTTCTAGTGAGCTTTCTGTACAGGCACTTTTATAGCCTACACGAACATTCTGTGCAACCAGCTCTATCCAATTGTACTAACAGAATCATTTTAGAATCTCCTTTTGAGCATTATCCCTAGTTTCTTATGTAAAAACTGCCCATTGCAGAAGGAATAAGAGCATTAGGAGTAATTCCAGGAGGTTTCGCTCAGTTTCGCTCAATTAGTTCGTCCAACTGGTATTCCTTACCCTTACGGATATCTTCACATTATTAATATTGTATTGCTGTTATTTCTGTAAACCCTTATAACTCAAGCTGAAACTGTGCTCTGTTCAACGTCAAAAATCTTGCTTGCAGAGTGATAGAAAGTCAAGCGTAATACTTCGAACCAGTGATTATTCGGTTCCGAGGCCTAACTCGAAGACCTATATTCCACTGAGCTACTAAAGCAGAAATAATTCCCTTGCTCACATTAAAATATTGGTTCCAGATATTTTGTCAGATCACGCATGATAACGGGACATTCCCTCTCCAGCTCATTTTGGGATTCGTGAGTTTTATCCAGAATGCCTCGAGAGTTTTGCGCGCTATAGTTTTGATTCCTCATACGGGCGGTCACGAACTAGCTGGCCTCTGAAAGTGCTCGGTGATGCTTCAATCACTATTACCGAATTCTCTAGACCGGCCATTTTTGCATAACATGCCCTAACGGTAGATACGGTGATTGCATGAGTTTGTGTGCGGCTTATCTGACCTTTTGTAAAGCGTGGGAGGACGAACACATTTGCGAAACGGGTAGACCACTCTGCGTCCGCATAAAAGAACACCTAGTCGGTAAACTTATAGTTGAACCAAATACCCCACAAAGCGTACATAGAATACAGAGACATAATGGAGATTTTGAAATTGAAGTTACCATCCACCAAGAGGAATCAAAAACTTTAGAGCGCATAACTCTCAAAGCATTCTGGATAAATTGCGAGACTTCAAAAAATAATTGCAGAGAGGAATGCCTTGATATCATGCGTTATTTCACACAGTATTTAGGACTGGTATTTTAATGTGACAAAAGCTCATTGCCCACCCATGTGAACTCTGCGCATTTGGTCTCCACGTGAAATCCCCAGTGGAAGACTCGTAGAAAGAGGTGAGTGTTTGAAGAACCTACTTTGTTCCATATGCGATTGAAATCTAACTGATTGAGAGATTGAATGTACCTCCTCTTATCTAAAAGTTGTCCATCTTCCAATTTGCCTTTGATGGGCACTCAAGACGCCGACCGTTAGTAAGAAAGACATTAATGTCGGAAAAAAGTCTCTCTCAATCTGCCTCTGTACGCTGAACTTTAGAAGGGCGCGTGTGATACAGTGGTCGGGGCGCCCTGTAACACACGTGTGGAATCGATCCCCGCGCCCATGAATGAACAAGCCCTCCATCCCTCCGGGATCGGCAAATTGGTACCAGACTTGTCTGAGAGGATAGCACCACTGACTCGATACATCGGTAGGCTGCCGGAAGTCATTGTAAAGGCCAGATATGCGTTCAGTCATCTCCAAACGATGATTAATGAAGTAGAATGCATGGCGCATACCTCAGCGATCGAAAGAAGTTCAGCAAGAAATAGATTCGCTGGTCTAAAATTACAATTCAAAGCAGAAAGAAGCTAGCTAATAGCCTTACTGTGAGTCCTGCATCGTACTCATGAAGCATTGCTGTCATCTCAAGCAGGTCATCGAAGTCTAGTCCAGCCATGATTTCATAGTTGATATTTTCCTAGATGTAAATTGATGCCTTTTCTCGACCTAATTCAATTATAGGTCAAGTATTCAGAATATATAACTCACAACTTAGTGGGACAAAATCAGTTCTACACAATGAAAATTGCACACAAACCAGCACTTTGAGATCCACGGTGTACTGGTGACCTCTTATAAATATCGACTTCTTCACTAAAGTGTTGACCGGTAGTGTTGCGAGATTCACGCGGTCGTATTCCTTTCTCTCCAACATCATTATCCTAAATTCTAGATTGCTACGTCAATGCGCCTTCGAGACGAACTTAGAGTTCACTGACATCTATACATATGAAGGACCGCAGGCGTCTGCGGTGGAGAACGAACGTGCTATTACCCTTTCCGAGGGCTCACGCGTTCACCACCACATCACGTCAGTCCTTCGTTTCGCCCTTCTATCTACTAGTTTTCTATCTACCAGTGCCATCAGCAATTATCCGTAGTAATAATTATAATAGTCTTAACCTTTTTTAATTCACTGCCTATTCTTTTTAACGGCAGGGCATTTTGCAAAATATAACTATTATAATGCTGAGATATTTGCAAAACTCCGGACCGTAGGAACTAGCTGAGAGACAGATGAAACCAAGGACCCGAATGGTGTGGTGGTGAACGCGTTACTCCCTGGAAAGGACAATAGCGCGTTCGTTCCCCACCGCATACACCTGATGTACGGAGTTTTGCAAATAATTCAGCATTATAGTAATTATAGTAGTCATATTTTAACAGTTAAAACAAACCGTTTCAGAAGCGATCGCGATCGCACTATTGCTTTGCAGTTCTTATCAGTCGGACGAACGACATCGAACTTCAGCTTAATATTTGTACGGCAGCCAACGTCACTAAACCAATCAATACGGTAATCCATGAATATTAAGCTTTCAGAACTATTAATGCAGGGCTTTTGAGTTTTGGAAAAAGCTCTTGTTAGAAACATCTATCTCCATGATTTTCGTATCAAAGCGCTAAATTTGAGTACTTGGTATCGGCAATCGTGATGACACCACTCGTTTCTCTATTCTCTTAATCTCGTAGGTTGTCATGTGGAAAACATCTGCAGTTAGTTCTTTGTAGAAATTATGAGTGGGAAATAAATATGCCGATATTCTTCTAGCAATACATCATCCTTATTCATTTTTCCTCCATAATACCGTTGACATCTCTGTAAACGAACTGTCAGTCTACTCGTAGTTAACGTATGAAAATCAGAACATCTTTCGAGTTCAGAAACGTTATCCCACCCACTTGCCGCTCTTTCTGCACATATTTCACCTATTTTTCAAGTCTTAAAGAACCATTCGTTCTAACGTTTACTGCCTCATTGTGGCTAGGAGGTGTTCCTGGGTGTCGGGCTCCGATGTACAGTGGGGGAATGATCACCCCGGCAAGTCCTCCTAAGCTAAGAACGACTCCGCCGTTTCCATTAGGACGCCTAGCTAAGAGTAAACCAACACCAGGATCCACCACCGTTCTGGTATCAAATTAGTCGTTTGGTAACAAATCTCGCTCTGATCCACAAGGGTGGCGACTGCTTGTGGTGGTTACGACCTGGAACATACTTTGACTATGCTGACCTCGGGACTGCAGGGAAACACAATGGCTAAACCAGCAAAGTTCCGAAAAAATGGAAATTATGCTGGGGCGCGCATAACCAGTGAAGATGGGCCATCCAAGTGTCCTGAGTAAGTAAAGAAACATTTAGTGAGAAAATTAATAGTAGCAAAGAACTCACAATGCATAAGTTTCTCCTGTATTGATTGCGTATTGTTTACAGCTCTCTCCACTAAAGTACAGGATGTGAATTGCAGGTGGAAAGTACGACATCCGCGTAACTGACACTTATCAATCAAAAGCCAGTACTTAGATCTCTAACGTTCGTCATCGTTTTAGATGGAGTGCATGGCGATTCTTGGTATCACTTAGAGCACTAGCGCCGTAAATTTCTATTTTCCATCGAAAACAGTTAGAGAAACAAAACAAAAGAGGTGAAGAGCAAATGTAAAGTAGTGAACGCAACCATAAAGAAAAAGAACCAAAGAAAAGAGACTAACTCTGGAATATACAGCATCATGGTTTCTCTGGGTGGAAGGTGTGCGACGACTTGCAGCTGGTAACGTTTCTGTATGTGTTAATCTATTTTGTTCTTTCTATCTTGTATTTGGTTTCCCGAAAAAATATCTCAAACCATTTTTAAAGTCTCGGCAGAACAATTCTGAAGATGGAACAGCCTCCACCATTACGTTGGTCTCATTTATAAATACTTTCGCATTTTAGGATGTTAGTACTTACTTTAAGCATAACAAGCGCAGCAATTCTTCGTAAAATACCCATCATATTTTATGTGACCCGTCTTTACATCTCCCTTTCAACTTTAGGTGTGAATTCGGGTGCTGCTTGATCATTTTCCTTTCATCATGAATACCATAGAATGCTGCTCGAGTCGACTCTCCCTGGAGTCCTGAGATAGCCGAGCTAGAGCGTCTCCAGTTGGATTAAAAGGAATAATTTGTTTCCTGGACAAGTGCTGTACCAATTCCTCGACCCTCCAGGGATGAGAGACTAGGGATGACAGACTTCGTGGGCCTGGGGTGGGATCGAGCCAGAACTGTGCTCGTGATGATCGGCATCACTACCACTGTGCTATTCACCCCATATATACCCACTGTATTACAAATAAATGTTCTTGGAAAAGGGCTAAAGTAACGCGAATTCTAGACAAGTTTTCAGGAAACTGATAAATTCTCAGGGAAATAACACGGTATTGATAATATAAACCAATAATGCATTGAAATACTTAGAAAATGAGAAAAAAGCCCAAAGTAAGGAAATAAACCGACCATGTGCAGGCATTTTGTCAGAAGACTTTCGTGCTTTGTTCTTGTTGTGTCGAATATCTGCAATGACCGAAGCGACTTCTAGAAAGATGACTTGTAGAAAGATAATTATGGAACCAACTAACGTCGCGAATATGGTCTAGGAGCTCAACTTGGTTCACATCATCTTCTTCGTTGTCCTTACATCCATAAAGAACAGCACAAATGACGGCCATATAACTTTCATCTTTCATTCACTGTAAACAATGTCAATAATCAAAGAAGAAAGACTCGCTCAGTGATATCCAGCCCATGTTCGACGACAATCTTCTTTAAGACATGCAGTGTTTTGAAGTACATTTACTGGTAATCGTGTACAGTTGAAAGACTTGACTACATGAACAAACATACGATTCCCAGCATAATTTCCATTTGGTTGTTATTTCTCTGACTGAATGATTTTTTTTTTCCTTGGACTCACAAAATACTCATTCTGGGAAGCTTCTATTATGCCGTAAGCATAGTCAGTAAGTGCTCAGTCCCTGTTATATCACGCACAATGAGTTGAAAACTAAATTAGTAAACTATAAAGTGGTACTGTCCGTACTAAGGAAATGGGCTCATTTAATCTCGGAACAACCAAATGGTCAGGAATAATAGCGACCTTTGGGTAGAGTAAGAAAAATAAGAAAACCAGTATGAAGGACGTGGATTATTGAAGAATGCTTCTACACTAAAGATGATTTCTTCAGTGAAAGGGCATTTCAGCGTTAAAAAAACCTAACACAGTTGACGAGAAGGGAAAAAGAAAATCAGGAAGTTTCGAAGATGAGTCATAATGACAAACGGTGCCACGAACTGATAACGATAACGATTACCTGTTATCTTCACGTGGCTCCATACCATCATGGAATACTGGTTATCTGACTCATCTCCATTCTATGACTTGAAATACCCTTAGTAAGCTGAAGATAAACAGACCACTTTATTTTCATAAGTTGTTCCTTCATCTCTTGCAAATTGTGCAGGTTAAAGAATAGCTGATGACGTTGACGGATTTCGTGGATGTACTCAGGACATGGCTTCCTTAGAAAAGTACTGATGGTACGGAAACCAAAAAATCTGCAATTTTCCTTTCCGCTATCATGACTTTCCCTGCATCTGAACGGGAAACTTATTTTAATTATAGCGTTTGGCTTGAAATGCATAAAGAACTGCATCAACTAACTATCCCTTTGCGCGTGCAGCGCAGTGTTCTGAGGCGCCCTGCAATGCACATGGTATCCAACCCCGCACCTCAGGCTCACCAAATCCGCTTTCCCTCCCGGGTCGGCAAATTGGTACCTTATCTAGGAGGATAGCAGCACTGGCTCGATACATCAGTAGGCTACCGGGAGGCATTGGAGGGACCAGATAGATAAGTAGTCACCACTAGCTACCTAGTAAAGTAGTGCTATAGTCAGGATGGTAGTGATTCTCCGTAGTGGATTGCTTTCATCATGCTTCGGGATGGAAATCTCGCACTTGTCACTAGCTCGAGAGGCCCTGGTAGGAAAATGAACCCTGGTGAAGACCACATGTTGACGACCAACCCCCATCCATAACAAGACGGCAAACTATAAGGAGTCCCAAAGAATTCGTATTCCCAGAATGTTATATCAGTAGACTTAGTGGGCATCCTCACCTACCACAATGGGAGAACAAACCAATGAAGCTCACTGAAAAAAGTGCTGAACAACGAAATAGGTGCATAATAAAAAAAACTACCTTCGTTCACCTATTTGTGGGTATATTTGTAAACTTTCGGCGTCTAGAATGCAGTAAGACAATATGATAGAATATACTTATAAAGCGCAGCAAGTGGTTCAATAAACAAGCCACTAAAAACGCATTAAGAAAATCGGGAAGAGATCTCTGCATGGGAGAGATCGTAACATGAGTAGTTGAACTGACCAGTAACCATTGTTGGAGTGCTTTTCTCAATCCGCGGCTTTCCAAATGCTCCGACGGAGTTAGAAAGAAAAGTGTCACCAGTACGGGATGCAACAACTTCCTGCATCTTCATAGCTTATATTTGCAGATCCGCCTCTACCATCATACTGATCTTGCAACCGTGATTCCGCACTGTTACACGTCATGAGTACTTTTACGAAACGCAACACAATCAGACGGCTTCCACATTCTTATGAAGAGTGATATGAGTCGAAAGTCGTGGATATGGACTTGAAGATGACCGACATTCCGCGGACCACTGCTGATAATTTCAGTTCAATATCATGTTTAGTTATATGCTTCTTTACCTTAAAACGTTAATGCGTCAATAAAAGTATCTCCCTAATGATTTCTTGAGATCACAGTTTATACTAAACTGGATGCGAGGTGTAAGGTACATATGTTCTCTCCCCTGATTTAGGTGTCACAGAATTCCATGGATCAAACCGCAACACATGCTCGCAGCAAATAAGAGTGAATAGATGAGGTTGGACAATGGATCTCTGTTCTTTGCAGCACCTAACAGTGAACTTCCACATACAATTTTTGAAGCATAGCAAGAACACAAGGATACAGTGTAAACTCCGAATAAGTGGAATTTATGAAACCAGAAGGGCATAAAACGTTTAAGTATGCTTTCTACAAAACCAAATCCTCAGGAAATGTAATAACTGAATCAACAAAGATTTATCAGTATAACAAAAAACAATTGGCAAACATTTCATCGATTATTTAGCTTTCTTTGCTCTTATCTTACGAAGGTAAAACTCCAGTTCTTTACCCTCAAGGATGTAGCCATCAGCGCGGCCGACCTGTCCAGGACTGGATGCAATACGAGCTGAAATCCACCACTTAATACCGGTAAAATCAAAAATTTGGAAGGTTAACACACCGAGAAGTCTTCCAGTCGCGAACTGCTCCAACAGAAGAGGATCAACGGCAGCACTTTTCTGTCGTTCAGTATACTTGGCCTGACAAGTTGCGGACCTTAAAGTTGAATTCTTAACGCTACAGAAAAAACTCTTCAACGGTTTAACGCCTCATCGTGGCTGGGAAGTTTTCTGGATGTCGGGCTGGGATGTACAACGGGGATTCATCCAAGTATCAAGTAAGTAAGCGTAGAAAACAATCGAATGATTACCAACCTCTTTTTATTTATAATAGCGTTGTCTTCTTCAGAGAGCTTCTGATTCTTTTTCCTAGCAAGTGGGAGAGCGTAGTGAGCTTCATACCACTGTCGGAAAGGAGCAGCATCAACAGTGATAACGGTGCCTTTCACAAGTGTCTTCGTCCGAACCAATTCGTTATTTGTTGAGTTGTAAATAGTGTCAATTATACGAGTTTTACGGGTCGTTTCTGAATTCACTCAAGTTCTTGCCGTGATATATGACCATGTAAAGCAACAAAATTTTGTGATGCCCATAAAAACTAGGAATAAAGTTAGTTACATTGAAAGACCAGATAAAATGAAACCCACGTTCTGAAGCCCACGAGTAGTTTCCGGCATCAAGACGCAAAGCTCGAAGTTTCGTATTTCCTCCTCTTACACGAATGACACGAACTCTTTTGGTTCCGATCTGTACGAAACTAATATGAGAACATATATGTTTTGGAGTAAACACCAAGAGTGCGTGACTGAGAACGAACCTTCGTGTTTGCCGGTTGCCGACCAAGTTCGTACTTTCTCTTTTTATGTGGAACTGGGCGAGTAGCACCTGTCTTATAACGTTTATGCCATGAGTCGCGTGAAATACCCATTCTAAAAAACTTTTTCTAACGATATAAATGAACCAAAAAACAATTTAAAAAGAGACACAGATCAAAACTTCGACGAAGAAGACTCCACAAAACAGAAATTTTAGGCCGTGCGTGTGGAAACGGTGAGATACGTGACTATTCTACGGATGCTACATATTGATAGACGTGAAATGTTGACCGTCATTTACAATCCAGCGTTCTTATCTGGGCTTCATCTCGCCTTTTTTTCATATTGTCTTTTTCATGCCATTACTTTCTCATGGGCTTTTCATTGTCTTCATTCGCCATAAAAAAGTGCTTAAGTCGTGAATAGACACTGTTTTTTAGCTACAAAAAATGGTGTTTATCGATGTTCATCAGCTTCGTGTACCACTAGTTTAGGGAGTCCTCTGGAGAATCTGTTCTAGATTTTCTGAGTTTCTTGCTAATAATCTAGAAATTTTGGTATTCTTAGTAGCGAGGCACAATTGTTAGAGCTTCTGTTATGCTCAGGATTGTTCCAATATTCTTTGCTGTGATTTGACCTGATCTTCTGTTGCGATATAGATTTAATAGATGTTGGATATGTGGCCGAGTTTTCCTTCTTTCCTTCTATTTTTTTGGTTAGGTCACGTGTTCCGCAATGGTCGGAGAGCCCTCTAATACACATGGGATCGATCCCCGAGTGCCTATATCACCAAGCCTTCCATCCCTCCGAGGTCGCAAAATCGGTACCAGATTTATTTGGGAGAATAGCAGCACTGGCTGGATATATTGGTAGGCCACCGCCAGTCATTTCAAAGGCCACATATGCATTCAGTTACCTCCAGCGATGCTCAATGAAGTCGAATGCACGACACATCCAACGTGGATCGATGAACGCCGAGAGGTTTATCCTTTCTACTATTCATCTGGTTGTCTTACTAAGCAGCTACATTGTAAAGTATGAGCAATCGTTTCATGCAATCGAAATTTGACAGGTGTTTTTGGTATATTAGGTTCGATCGCGTCGGTTGACTTATAAACCACAGAATCTCAAAGTACTCCGACATGATTCCCACATTTTTAACAGTTTTTATACACGTAGTAATTCCCATGACCGACTTTCTGTTAACCTCGGCATTAATTGATAATTCAATGTTTTTCATCAATAAGCAGACACGAGGTTGTTAATATAGAATTTATTAGAACATAGTTGCTGACGTTTCGGCGGTTTCGCCTTCTTCAGAGCCTGGAAAGGTCAAATTGAGATGCGATCTACTCAGCCAAACACTTTCATAACCCTAGCAGATAAAACTTGATAAATCGATTTGTATTCGCATAAGAAACAGCTTCATTCAAACACCTACCGTTTATTTGTTGTAAGTATTTAAGTTAGTTGGTGGATAGCCGCCGCACAGAGTAATACATGGTCGATAACTGGGTCCATGTCAGATCATTGGATCAGCCTGAG